CCTTGCACAGTCAGCCTTGCAAGCCTTCAAGAAGACAGCAAGGAGACCTTGGAGTTCTACAAAGAACTTTTTTTTTTTTTTTCCTTGAGCAGCTCTCAAGCCTTTGTGAAGCTCAAAAAATGACTTCCAAGGAAGAAGCTAAAGCATCTTCTGCGGAGGAGAGAAGGAGAAACGCTTTGGACCACTTGCCACCTCCTGCAAACTCTAACAAGCCCTTGACTCCTTTCAGTATTGAGGACATCCTGAACAAGCCCTCAGTGAGAAGAAGTTACACCATCTGTGGGACAGCTCACCTACTGTCTTCTTCTGAAAAGCCCCCTCCAACGGGACTACCCTTGTCCAGCAGAGCTCTCCTGTCCCAGACTTCACCTCTATGTGCCCTGGAGGAGCTGGCCAGCAAAACCTTCAAAGGTCTGGAAGTTAGCGTCCTACAAGCTGCGGAAGGTAACACTCAACTCTTTCTCTAGTTTATAATCCCCAAATCGCATCTGGAATATTGTTCTTTATTTATTTCAGTGACTTATGTTTGTTTATTATTTTTTTTAGATAAATATAACACAATTGTAACCCTATTTATAGACAAAACTGTGCTAGGAAAAAAATTGTTCTGCAATTTTTAAACAAAATTTTTAGAATAATTAAAAAAAAAAGAATTTGTCTAATTAAAAAAAATATATTATATAAAAAAAATAACGAAAAATACTTTTCCTTTCAGGACGAGATGGGATGACCATTTTTGGCCAGAGACAGACCCCCAAAAAAAGGAGGAAGTCCAGAACAGCGTTCACAAACCACCAGATTTATGAGCTGGAAAAAAGGTTTTTATACCAAAAGTACCTGTCCCCGGCGGATAGAGACCAAATAGCACAGCAGCTGGGACTGACCAATGCTCAAGTCATCACCTGGTTTCAGAATCGCAGAGCCAAGCTCAAAAGAGATTTAGAGGAAATGAAAGCAGATGTGGTGGCCACCAAAAAAATCAGCCCGACCTCAGTAGAAGCGGTGCTCACTATTTCAGAACTGGACGATACAGAGTCTATGAGCCCGAGCAGTTCCAATACCAGGACCAGGTCACCCCATGGACTGCCCAGTCACCTCCAAATGTCACCCTCTTCCCCCCTTACAGATCAGCACACGAGCAAAGAGTGCTCAGAAGACGAAGAGGATGTGGAAATTGACGTCGACGACTGACTCTTTTTTATTCTAAAAAAAAGAAAAAAAGACTAAAATGAAAACAAGAATGGACGGTATTTTTTATGCTGCACTTGTTCCTAAACCAGATTTCAAAAATCATACCTTTCACCCAAGGCAGTTTCTTTTTCAATTAAAGCAATAAGTAATATAAGAAAGACTTAAATTACAACGGCTGCCCAATCAGGTAGTTTTCGTGTTTTTTTTATTATTATAATTATTATTATTATAATTATTGTTATGATTTTTTTTTTAATGGTGCAATTGTGGATGGCTTCTGTAAAAACAAAACAAAAAAATATTTAAACATATTTTTTTAAACTCCTTTTAATCTCTATAGATAATTTACTCATCACACGTTTCGATAAATCCTATTTTAAGACACTTTTATTTAACAATTTGAATGTATCTGCTAAAACTTGCCATAATTCTCTTGCATGTACAATTATACAGGATTATTTTTCCTTCTATATTACGTTTCCTTTTTTTTTTTTTTTACTTTGTACTTAACATGTATGCCAATTTACCTAATTTTCTAATGTCAAATACATTTTTCTTTAAACGCAATTTCTATCTCGTTATACCATTTAGAATATATATATTTTCTTGTCTGCTACAATATGCTTTTTTTAAAACAATCCTGCCTTTCATAATATGAATACAAAGGAGGTGGAAACATAATTATTTTTACTTGTTTTTAGAATTTTGCATGACACGATGAAATACAATAAATACGAAAAAAAAAGTTCTATAAATCATAAATGTACAGAGAAAAATGTTTGTTAGAAATGTAAAGACAAAATGAAAGTTGTAAAGGCCCATTATTTAAGTTATAGCAAAGATAGATATATATGTATATAGCATTATATTACATAACTTTTTTTATAAAACAAACTAAAATTCCTGTAAATAGTGTTAAAGTAGACATGTTTCGAAAAATCCATTTTATTTGTATGTGTTCATTTTTTATTTGTGTTTTGGTAAGTACAGTCTCTATTTTATTTCCAAAGTGTGCCTTGCCTTTTTGACCCAGTAAGGATGGGGCTATAATTTTAGCGTAAAGCATGGAAACTGGGGACAAATGAGACCCCTTCCCTGATGTGACAAGTGACAATGGCCCGTGTACAGCCTCCTGCAGCTCTCAATGCTGAGACAAGCGTGGCCCTTCAGAGGAAAAGAGAAGAGCGTTTGGAGGCCATATGGTTTGTGAATTTTCTTCACAATTTTTAGACAATTTGATGGATTGAGTTAACCCTCCTCGAGACTGTTTAACTCCACTTTACAAAGGCAGTAATGAATACATGGCTCTCTTCAGAGGGGGCATCTGTGCTGCTCCTTGTGTTCACTAGCATTTTCAGCAAGTTAAATTTCCCCTTACACAGCCCTATATCTCCCAACATGCTTTATGCTAAGTAGGCATATCGTAAAAGTGAGCTGCTTTGACATTTATGCCAAGATCTAGTTAAAGGCTTTTTATTTGTTTTCTTTTTCTTTTATTTTCTCCCCCTCTTTGGCTTTTATCCCTTTGTTTTAGAGGGGTTTAATGAGGCTGAAAACACTCGGATTCAATGGAGTCAAAGAGGAGAAAAGAGAGAAAGGAGTCGAGTTAATTTGGGTTAGTGCTTTTGTCTAAGAGGTGCGGGGAAGGAGATGGATGGACTAGAGATACAATAAGGACACTCAAGTTTACCACACGTGGCAAAGCCTGGGCTAATGTAACCATTCAGCACAAAATACTACTGTGCCCTGGCTGGTAACTAGCTTCCAGGGACTCTGCGAATGAAAGGCAGCATGAAAGCCAGGAGGATGTGCAGAGATGGTGCACCTTAGCCTCCTGGCACATAGTATGAGGGGTGAATTATCCTACAGCTACTGTATGGCAAATATATAATCATTGTGGCCTTTTGGTGTGTGTGTGTGCTGAAAGTGGGCTCTTCAGGTCAGATACAATGAAGTTACAATAGTACACACCATAATATTGCACCGACTGTCCCATAGGCGTGTGATGTATATGGCCTTTGATGGGAACTTTTCAGGAGAAATTAATTCTTCACTTCAGGATGTGTATGAGTTTGTGAATATTGTATGTATGTGTTTATACTATATGTGTGTGTCAAAAAATATATATAATAAACACACACGTACAGTATTTGTAAATATATATATATATA